AAAGAGAAGATGATTTTGAGGGGGACTTTTAACAGTTCTTAAAAGGGATTGCAATCACCCTCAAGGGTTGAGAGGAAATGAGCCACTGTAATTCAAGTTTAAACACATTCATTTTCACACAATAAAACTTCTTCTGAGCAATTAGTCTACTACACCTTATTCCATATTTTTCAATCTTTATTCTAAATTATTCATTGCTGCCTCCACCCGGTACCGTAATTAAAAGTTGCCTACTCTTGAGTGAGAAGTTACTCTGGCAAAAAGAGATGCCAAATCGTTCTCTAGACGGCAGTTGCTGCTGAAGTCAGTTTTCTAAAAAGTTCAGCAGAGACTCCCAAGTCAGAAGTGCAGCCTGTTTCTCCCTTTACCTGTAAGCTCGCCATCAGGAAGTCCAGCACGCTGCTGTCTGGCTGCACAGCGCCTCTGAGAGCCAGGTGTCCCACTCTCTCCAGCGGAACCACTCTAGTGGGGTTCTGAGACAATTTCGACTTCACACTCAAATGCAGTCATGCCCTGGACTCTAGCACTATTTTCCATTACCCTAAATCATCTCCGGTGTTTTCCTTCCACACGACTGGGGTGGAGAAAGAACAGCTCATAAGATGCCATCAGTCTTGCACTGAATACATTCTTGGGGATATAAAGTCTGGGGAGACACCAAGGGGCACACACAAACCCAGTTTGCTTTGAGAAGCAAAGGTGGGAGAGTGCCATACGCAAAGCACTTACAGCTTCTTTCTCCTGTAGAGCAATGCCACACCTTTCTCACTGCCCAGCACCCAAGGGTTGGTTGTGAGGGTGTGGGGCTGTGGGGGAGGTAAGAAAGGGCTTCCAGAAAACCATTACTTAGTTACTAAAGTTTTACCAGCACCAACCAATGCAAGAAATCAGGGAGAAAGAAGGCTTGAGCTCCATTACTGACTGCACCATTGAATTCAGATTTTTACATGGTGACAAGACTGTAAATGGTCTTAGAGGATCTAAATCTTGCCAGTGTGAGGAACATAGCTAACAGGCAGACAGTACAAAGAGAGCCAGCAGCAGCAGCAGCAGCTCTTTTCATGAACCGTCATGCTGCAGTAGGCTGGGAGGCTGATTATCTAACAAATAATTATGCAGCTCAAATTGAATTTCTGTTACAAGAAGAGCGAGAAGTGTGTTGGCAAAGGAGGCAGGGATCCTGGCCTTGAGGTCACCTATCAAATAGAGGACTTTAGACCACATTATTATTAAACATTTTCCTCCTTTCAGAGGAGAGCTGACATTTTAGCAGCATTATCTCCATGAAGAATGGGAATGCAGAAAAAAAAAAAAATAATTGAAATATCAGTGGAAAGGAAAAGGGTTCATCTTAGGGTTAGTGCATGTCTGAGACAGCCTAACTCAGAAGCATTTCTTCTGATTACTGACCTCTTTTTCACCTGGGCTGTTTTCATTGAAAAGAGCCACACTTCATGAAATCATTCATGAAAATAACTGCTTTTGCTACGTAGAGTTGGGTGGTTCATGATCAGATGGCAAGATGGTCTGAGGCACACTCAACAGCAGGATCTGGGGGTGACTCTCCCTACAGTGGTTTATGTAGAAAGGCCCTGGCATGTGCCAAGGGTTGTAGGCACCCTGGCGAGCTTTACCCAGGACCAAGGAACAGGAACCCAGGGTCTCCTTGGCCACCCGCCATCTGAGTTGGCTTCAATGCCTGACTTGCCCACAGCAGGGCTACATCTATTTTGCGCTGAACGCCTCTAGGTCTGAGAACTCAAACTTCCAACTGGAACATTTTTCTTTTCACTCATCCAAAATCTTCTCTCTCAATTGATCTCTACCACCTCTGTAGTCCAGAATATTCTAGTTCCTCATTCACAAAATGGCCTCATAAAAATGACAAACCTTTTCTGAGCTAGCCTCCAATTCATTCCCTCTGTCCTTCCTTCCATAAACACTGACTGCGTGCTGGTGATGATGTCCCCTGTGTGGCATGGAGTCTATGCCTGTGCCCATCACTGTCACCCTTCCTCTTCAGGAGGGTCACTCAGTCACTGTCCCCTTTAACTATGTCTCCCCCCAGACCTCCAATACACACACACTTTTGAGCACAGTACTTAGCTCTGAAGAACAGAGCAGGATGATGACCTCAATCATCTGGACATTCTTTCTCCCAGCTCTTCCTCTTCCTAGCTATGGGACACTGAGCAGTTGACTCAGTTTCTTTGTGCTTTAGTTTTCTTGTCTGTAAAATGGGAAGATATCACCAGTTCTCACCTAAGAGGGATGTTAGGACCACAGAGGTGAACATGTGCAAAGCACCCATATACCTGGCACACAAACAACTCCTTAAAAGCAGGAGCTGGGGTAATATTAAATATTGATACATCAGCCCCACGCTCTCACCACTGTGACTCCAGGCTTATCAACAACGCTGCTAAGCTCTTGCTTCACTGATTTCTTCTTCAACTTATGCTACTGATTTATGCCACCGAACAGGAAAGAAGAGTGACACACCAATGGAATATGTGAGGGATGAAAGAACAGGAGAAGCAGCAACCAGCTTGAAGCCTGGGCGCCCCACAATCACGCACTACCCCTGAAGACAAATCCATCAGCCAGAACCGGAGCCACAAAATTCAGAATGGAGATGTCAGAGGGCTGCAAAGACAGACTATCTGAGGAGGAGAGTGAGCCCTGGGAAGCTCAGGTCTGACTGAACCATCAACATGTGCTTAAAAATATCCTAGAGGACCCAGCAGTCCCACTTCTGGGAATACATTTCCAATTGAATTGAAAACACAGTATTGAAGGGATATTTCTACATATGCCATAAACACGCATGCCCATACAGCATTACTTACAATAGCTGAGAGGGGGAGCAAGTGTCCATCCACAGATGGATGAAGAAACAAAATGTGGGATATCCAAAGAATGGGAGTGTATTCAGCCCGAAAAAGAAAGGAAATCCTGGCAGGGAGTGGTGGCTCACACCTGTAATCCCAGCACTTTGGGAGGCTGTGGCAGGTAGATCACAAGGTCAGGAGTTCGAGACCAGACTGACCAACAAGGTGAAACCCTGTCTCTGCTAAAAATACAAAAATTAGCTGGGTGTGGTGGTGCATGCCTGTAATCCCAACTACTCGGGAGGCTGAGGCAGGAGAATCGCTTGAACCCCAGAGCAGAAGGTTGCGATGAGCTGAGATGGTGCCACTGCACTCCAGCCTGGGCAACAAAAGCGAAACTCCATCTCAAAAAAAAAAAAAAAAAAAAGGAAATTCTGACACGCTACAACATGCAGGCACATTATGCTAAGTGAAATAAGCCAGCCACAGTATGATGCTACTTACATGAGGTCCCTAGAGTTGTTACATTCATAGAAACGAAGGAGAATGGTGGCTGGCAGGGGCTGTGGGGAGGGGCATGGGGAGTTGTTCAGTGGGTACAGTTTCAGTTTTGCAAGATGAAAAGCGTTCTGGAGATTGGCTGCACAACAGTGTGAATGTACTTACCACTACTGATGTGCACTTAAAAATGGTTAAGATGGGCTGGGTGCGGTGGCTCACGCCTGTAATCCCAGCACTCTGGGAGGCTGAGGCAGGCGGACTGCTGGAGCTCAGGAGTTCGAGACCAGCCTGGCCAACATGGTGAAACCCTAGCTCTACTAAAATAAAAAAGAAATTAGCCAGGCATGGCGGCGTGTGCCTGTAATCCCAGCTACTCAGGAGGCTGAGGCAGGAGAATTGCTTGAACCCGGGAGGCGGTGGTTGCAGTGAGCCGAGATCGCGCCACTGCATTCCAGCCTGGGCAACAGAGCAAAGTTCTATCTCCCACAAAA